AATGCCAAGGTGCCGACAACTAACTCCTCAGGTGAGGTGAACGAATGAACCTACCTTTAGGATTGCGTTTTTGTCACCACAATAATAGTAACAATTGGATAACAATATGGATAAGAAAATTTGTATCTGAATATATCTACAATAAGTAATTTAAGATTTTGTAAATGGTAAATGTTCGTCCCAAAACATTAGAAATTAGAAATTAACGTCTACTAATCTGTTACTTTATGGCTTGTAAGTATGATCGAATATCGAAGTACAGTCCATTATGGAGATTTAAGATTGCCGGCATTGAAGATATATATTATTAACAATTGAATCAACGCAAATTTCGGCTAATTCAGTAGCTTGAGTTTTAAAATTTAAAAATGAATATTTGGACTCGAGTGTATTCGAGTAGGTATTGCAGGTAGCAAATGTTTTAAGTATTTCGATATCTTTGGTAAACTATCGTGGGAGTAGATGAAAGCAATTGAGAAGACAGATTTGAAAGTGGCGTCCATCACCATTTGAGCTGGCGGCGGTATGAGTTGGGCTTACGCCTTACAATCATTATCACAAGAATTTAACCTCTCGCAATCACATTCACTAACAACGTAAAATTGTAGTTTTTCTTAAAAAAATAAAAGCGAATTCTACTGTACTTCTCTGCAGTGTGTGATTGTTATGAAAGAGCTAAAGAAAATGCAGTAAGTGTACAATTTCAGCTAATGCCAGTACAATCACGGGCAGCATGTTCTATTGTCAAACGAATTTTATTATGCATCACAATCCCATTCAGTATCCCTTTATCGGGATAAATTTGTTAATTTTCCATCGAGCCGTTGATACATTATACATATAAATATTTAGATTGATGTATTACATTAAAATTTATTTTTATCATAGAAGAACCTAAGTGCTATATCTGTAAGATAATCAAAACATTGATATGATGAATTATGAAACAGCAAATCCAAAAAATATTTTGTTGAATATAGCGCATAGGTTACTGCTTGTCAAAGCAGTAATCTATGCGATATATTCAACAAAATCAAATATTCAACACAATTTCGAAATAATTGATACGTAGGTGTAATACATACTTAGAATCTCAACGAGCTTCAAAGTTCAATGATAACTATCATGTACCTGAAAATTCTTTTAATTTTCCTGTAGAATCACAATCATTAATCGTTGCTAAAAAAGATCTTACGCTTACTTTCAAACTAAAAAACAAAGAACTACTAGTATCGAATAAGACTTTCTTGTTTTTATAACATTGAATTAGTATCAGGAGGATTTAAAGTACCTCCAAAGTAGGTACGATAAATAACCACTCGAAATTCCAACCCATTCGAAATATAAACATTTAAACTGAACATACAGATTATACTCGTATACAATAAAAACTTGGATCTAAACATAATATTGACCATTTTGAAAGAATCATTCAGAGTAGTCAATATTTAGAAATTATAATAACAATTTGCATATTGTGATATTACTCGTAAACAAAATTACAATTGAATTTTTCTTAATGATATAATTCTGACTACTTTAAAAAGTAGGTACATACGATTCTATTGCTGACCGTACTATTCTATTTCTGTTGTTTAGATACCGAAGATAAACATTAGTATATTATTATTATTATTATATTATTATAGTAATTCAAAATTCTCGAAAAATGTGTTAGTCCTCCATAGATTTGCAATTATTTAAATTGAAAATTTCATGAAACGCATTAAATTCGAAGGTTATTCATTAATCATTCTCTTGAAATAAAAACGTGATGAATAAAAAATAGTAATGAGTGTATACCAATATATATAAAGTCGCAAGTACCAAATTTTGGCATATTCAAATAAAACATCTGTGCCATCACTTTGTTTGATATCGTTTCTTAATTCAAGGACAAGTATTAATAATAAAAAAATCAACACATTCAACGCAAATATGTATATTTAACCTCGATACGAGATCAGATTTACTGCGATTCAGCACATTTGACATGACTCATTTGGAGAAATTACGTAGTCCGTGTCCTCTCTAAAGTAGGCCGTTGTCAATCCATAAACATCGATATTAATTAAAAAATATTTTTACTACTAAAGACAATTTATTTTAACTCAGAACTCCGCCACGTATGAACCGATTTGGAATTTTTTTTTTATTTATTGTTAATTTTCTGTAAATACCATTTACACCTCAAAAAAAGCTTACTGTGCTAGTAATGTTGAATGGAACGACAAATTGCTGAGACTAGGATATACATCGGCAAGCTTGTATTAGTACCCTAATGATAATAAATATTATCCCTTTAAAACAAGACATGATCGTAGAGAGTTGTCATTCTGGATTCAACAACGAGGATGAAAAAGCGTCGCAGGAACTAAAGGAAAGTAAACTTACTGCTATATTATACGAATTTAATGTAAATATTATTATTAATATAGTTTTTAATACAAACACAGTATACCTTTTTTTTTTTTTTTTTTTTTTTTTTTTCCGTGCGGAAATCCCCTCGGATACCACCTGTCGGTGGCATGTCGGACTCGAACCGACTAAAACCGCACGCCTTCGCCGGGTACTAATAGCCGGGGAACCAGGTATACCCTAGAAAGGAAGGCCCTGGTGCCCCGACATACCTCGGGTCATCTACAGACGAGTAGACGACCCCCGCCCCGTGTGGGAACCCCATGTTCCCTGTGCTCCCTGGAAGCGAGCGCGCTTCGCAACGCGCTCGCCGCCACCCCGGCCTGCTTCTGCTAGGGTGACAGATGGCCTCACCTGTCACCCCCAGGCCTGCGCTTATGGAGGACGGAGGTCGTTCTGCGACCTCCGGCGCCTGAGTCGCCTGCGCTGCCTGGCCCGTGCCCGGGCCTGGCGGGCCGGGAGAGTTCTAAACCTCTCCCGGTCCCGCTCCGCCGTCTCCTTCGCGAGCATAACTTGCTCGCAGAAGGAGACGGCAGAGTTCCACGCACTCTCGCTCCGCACGATAGCCGCAATCAGGCATCGCAGTGGTGGCACTCAGGCGTTGGCTCCTTGCGGATCAGACACAGGTGATCTCCGAAACATCCCTTCCCAGTGATCACCTGCGTCAATCGGTATGAGAGGGTCCCGTGACGCCTCTCGAGCCAATCCTCCATAACGGGTCTTACCGCCGCAATGACGGCGTGCCCGGCGCTCGGTTGCCCGAGTCGTTCCCTCCACTCCCCTATGATGACCTGGCGGAGTTGGGATTTCCGGTCCTCGATTTCTCGAGTCTCGGGGCATCGACCCAACTCCTGCGCCTCCTTGCGCCACTGATACAGTGCCGCAAGGGCTCTCGCCTCCAGGTCCCACGGTGGAGTTCCGGCCAGGAGACTCGCTGCCTCAAAGGAGATCGTGCGGTAGCCCTTATGATCCTGATGGCCAGCATTCGCTGCGGTCGTCGCAGTGTCGCGACGTTGCTGGCCTTCAGGGCCCCCGCCCATACCGGGCACCCGTAAAGGGCCATGGACCGCACAACCCCCGAGTAGAGTCTCCTGCAGGAGTCATCGGGTCCCTTCATGTTGGTCAGCAGCCGCGCCAACGCACGCGCTGCCCCAACCAACTTAGGGACCAGACCTCGGAAATGATATCCGAAGTCCCATCGGCCATCGAGTACGAGCCCCAGATACCTGATCGAGGGCTCGATGCCGATGCGAGTGCCTCCTACCGTGAGGCTAGATCCCTCAGGCGGCTTCCTCCGAAGCCCGTGGAAGAACAGGGCCTCGGACTTGTGCAGAGCCACCTCGAGACCCAGCCGCCGGATACGCTCAACGACTTGGGCAACCCCGGCCGTGGCCCTCAGGGTTGCCTCGTGGTGCGTCTTGCCGCGCGCCGTCACGAGTGTGTCGTCCGCGTAGCACACGACGGCGACACCATCCAAGAAGGCACCACGAAGCACCCAGTCGTAGCCGATGTTCCACAAGAGTGGCCCTAACACCGACCCCTGCGGAACACCGCACGACATTTCACGCCTACCGAGACCGGTCCTACTGGGGTAGACGACGGCTCTCTCCGACAAATATGCCCCGACTATGCGGCGGAGGTAGAGAGGCACTTCGTGATACACGAGCGCCTCCCTGATGCAGCTCCAGGGCATAGTGTTGAACGCGTTGGCGATGTCCAAGGACACCGCCAACACCACTTCGCCCCGGGAGACTGCTTCCTCCGCCAGAGCCTTCACGCGCATGATCGCATCCACGGTGGAGCGCCCCTGACGGAAACCGTACTGGTTGTCCGCCAGATCCGGCCCAACCATCACGAGATGCTTGACGAGGCGCCTTGCAATCACTCTTTCAAAGAGCTTGCACACCTCGTCAAGCAACACTATGGGCCGGTAGGCGGACGGTGAGTCCGCCGGGCGCCCCTCCTTAAACACAGTATACCTATATTTTTGTTGCCTCCTTACAATGATAATAATATTATGACAATAAAATATTTTGGTATTATTGTTTTATATTACAGGCGAGATATGATGTACTATTTTTACATGTAGAACGGAAACTGTAAGTAAATCTTAAAGTTAACGTGAGCACGTCCTCGATAGAGTGCTAGTGTCAAAGTCAATAAATTGAATAAGAGATAGATAAGTAACCTAATATTGTACGGTTAGCTGCACTCCAATTATTATCTTATCGTTATAAGTTAGTGTGTGATACAATATTGGTATTATCAGCAGATTAGTCCCAAATTCTTATTATCAAATTATGATTCGCTTAATCAATGTTAGATATTATTATGGCATGAGACGCGCATATTCTTCGACAAAGTCGTTATAAAAATTATCGAATGGCTCCAGTTCTGAAAAAAAGAAGTACCTACTCATTTGTTTTGAACTGTTTGAAGGGTTGAAAAGTTAATAAAAAGTGCACATGGGTTGATATTACATATACGTATGTAACGTAATAAGTGTACAATTGTAATAATCTGTGATTTTAAGTACAAATTTAGATATGAAAATGTGTCTCAAGAAAGTGTTTTGTGTTTTTATGATTGTGTCGAGTTTAAGTTCAAGTACTCAGTTGCAGTTTCATATTAGGGAACCATCGAAGACTCATATTCACCATATCCACCATGATGTATCTTCCAATTTTTACGTAAGTCTTTATCTTCTACATGTACGTTTGTATGTACTTTGTATATATAAATGTTTACGTATGTCTAGTCTGAGTGAGAAATACTCGAAGCTTGCATAAACACATCATTACTCATTCTGAATGTTTATTGATTTTTTTTTAAACTGAATTATTTTTATACGAGTTTAATTAATGATTTGTCGACATAAGAGTTACATCATTGATAGCAAATTAAAAAAATATATATTCCAGTTAATATTTTTACTTTTGAACTTTAGAAGCAATTAGCAGAATATTTAATTTTACTCATTTATCTTAGGAGGTGTAAGGCCAAGAACAGATGATTAGAGAAGGGTTGCCGAGGTGACCGCTTAAACCACTGCGCCATCCGTGGTGTTAAGGAACGAAAAAATTGTTATGGACAGTTATGTTAGTAGTACAGGCTGAGAAAGTTCAGATCGAAAAATAAAATAAACTGGCGTTTGTCATTGTGATAATTTGGGTAAAAGTATAAGTAGAAAAAAAAATACTTTGGAAAAAAATCGGTTCGTGCAAGTTATTGAAAATTATGTAATGTTTATGGCACCTGTTCGATTGTGTTTTAATAACTTGCACGAACCGATTTTTTCTTTATTATTATTACAAAGTTTTTTTTTAAATAACATTTTACCCGGATTATTAAGTTGAAAACCAGCCATTTATTTTTACTATAGCTTAGCAAAACACAGATAGGTAATAATTACATTTCTAGATTATCATTTGGTTATGTCAGCACACTGAAAAAAAAAAAACAAAAAAAAAACTTAAGAATGTTAGCTACTCATATTTCCTGCTTTTTCCCACTTCTATTTGAGGGCCTCACGATTACGATAACATTGCAAAAGAATTTAGCTAGCTAGAACAAATAACCTTATAAAGACCGCAGTTTGACGAATTGAGAAACGCTCACATCCAGCATTTGAGGTCCCATCATAATACTGTCTCTACTGATGCTTTATTCTTAAATATGAGGTAAATCGTGTTATTATTTACATACAACACATCCGCATAAGGACCTAAACGAATACGAGACTTGTATTTAGTAACCACTAATATAATAAATTTGATAAGAGAAATGATTACTGTCAGATTGTGTTATCATATTTTGTTTTGTTATTTATTATTGCGTGAGAGTAATTGACAGTTGTCTGCGGATAGTACCGAATGTTTTGTGGCTGATCCGCAAAACGCCCAATAATAATTTAGAAATTAATGACTGTTAGAAATTTTGACTGCACGAATGGCGTAATGGTTTAAGCGGTCGCCACGCCGCTTACTAGTACGCTGAGTGTTGTGGGTTCAATCCCCACGACATGTTGTTGTGTGAAGTGTGGACAACACTTTCTGGATCACACAAAGTGTTGTCCACACTTTGTGTGATCCACAAATTGTTGTTCTGAGTCTGCGTGTTCTTTGTGTCCGTTTCATGTATGTTTGTAAAAGTCCACACAGGATATATTCCTAATGTGGGAGTTGCTTTTTTGAATATATTTTTTTTAGTAAAAATTAGTTATTTCAGTGACAAGGTTCAGAAACTTTTGAAATTTTTTTATAATTGTCAAACATATTTTTTTTAATGTCTAAGTGACAAATCGATGTAAGATAAGTACTTAGTTTTAATTTACTACAGCAATAACTGATTTGAGCACTGGCCAAAAAAGCCATTATATTTCATTTATAATAATAATAAAAAAATTGTTATACATATTTCATTTATAAAAATAAAAATATTGACGAATTAAAAAAAGCGTTATAAATAAAAATTTAAGTTAGCTTTAGTCTTCGATCAATAATAGTACTATTATTGATCGAAGGGTTTAGTGAATGATAATTATATTTTGTGAAAATTTTAATGGCGTAAATTAAAACGTTCACCTTTTTAATTTTTTTACCAATGTGTTTTTAATTATTTATGCTTGTGTAGATGATAGTACTTTTGAATCCTGAGAATAATTTAACATTATGTATACAAAAGACCACAAATGACCTTGAAAGTTGTGGAATTTATATTAGTTATTGTAGGTACAGTAGTAGCATATGTGTAATAAATATTATTTCTTACACATGGTAGTAAGTCCGTTTTTTTTTTTATTTATTTAACTTAAACTTTATTTTTGAACATGACAATACATTCTTTGTGCCCCAAAACCAGGTTTGATGGTTTGACTCGAGGATCGAGCCACCGTACATTTGTCTTATTTAAGTCATTTAAAAACTATTATAGGCAGGTACATACAACAGTAGCTTATTATAATAAATCAAATTTGTTAAGTCTAGGAAACATGTGGGGAAATTTGTTTGATGAAAATCACCGGTGTCAGCGGTTTTAGGGTTACGAAAACGTAAAACGTTTTTAAAATATAATATTTTAGAATATATCATAAGGAATCAAATTTTTGAAACATTGATGCTCGATATTGGTCGATATTATATTATTATAGCCTTCCTAGATTACTGAAATATCCAACACAAAAAAAAAATCAATTCGCACCAGTAGTTCCTGAACAAACAAACAACCTCTTCATTTTTTATATATATTTTCTGGACAATTAATTTATTAGCTATGGATGGTTACATTGAGAACGAAATTCTAATATTGAAGAAAGTCAAATGTATAACAAAAGAAACCTTTTTCGGAAAGTTTAAGCGTATAAATTAAAAAAAAACCGTTCACTATATAAGATATAAAAAATAAACCTCATTGCACCGACCAATTCTAAATTCAAATTCGTTCTACGCATAAAACAAAAACCAAAAGCAAGTTTTTTATTGTTGTACAGTTCATTTGTTTGCCCGCTATTTAATTTTTCTTTAATAGCATCATTTCTGTGAACATGTTAATTCGAATACGACTTACGCTGCACAAATGTAGCAAGTAAGCATTCTGTGTCTTTTTATCGTAATATCGCGTTTTTTTATATGTTTTAAAGTTAAGTGAGAACCCGAGGTACCTACACTGAAGATTAAAATTGATTACGGTGAATTGTATAGCAATAGTGAAATCGGATATATTGCAAACAATGCCAGCATTAAATTAGCAGCACCCTTAACGTAAGTGATTAAAGCATTGACCTGTTGTATCAAATTATATAGATAGTTAATAATCTAAGAGATAGATACCTAAATACGTTTAAAGTTAAAAATAAAGCGATCACTTTTATTCTCCCAATATTATATTAATATTGAAAAATGGAACGAGCAGTTTCATGTCTTCATTAGTTGATCACAAAAGATTTATATATTGTAATGCGTACAATTATGCAATAAAAAAAAGAGTTTATTTGTAATACATACAAGCTAAGTCATAATTCAAGTAATTCCTTCGAACTACGTAATCTGCTACTGAAATAGAGTAATCAAGGTCAGCGATAGATAAAAATACTCACTTTAAATGTATGAGTTTCAATAAAATTTTGTGTTCATAATTATACTACTTAAAAAACACCTAAACTTGGACGTATTATTACCTTAGCTAAGAAAAATTAGAAATAGACTTTCTAACATTCAAAAGATTTTATAGATTCAATTGGTATCGCCATGAATACAAAACTCAATCTTAAAAGTAACTTGCAAAAGTAACGTTAATTCCGTTTATTTAGTTTATCTTATTATGTTATACGTATACGCGTTATTACATAACTTCCAGTTGCCTTTATCCAAAAACAAATTCTCAAACCATAAGGCTATCGCATACCCCCGATGTTACAACCAATGTGTGTTAGATTGGCTGAAAGTTATCACCACGTACAATACGGATATGATATAGACCAGGGTACAATAGACAGAATTCAAACTAATTAAAATTTCCACTTTTGACAGTTATTTCAAATTCCTAGTTTCGGTGTTTTCTATGTGTAATATATAGGTATATATTTACAAAAAAAAGTATATAAGTATCCTTCCAGTTAATTTAGCTTTCATAGTACAAGCTCTGCTTAGATAGGCTTTGTATGTCAGATGTCCGAAACTCTTATTATTTATTTATTTATTATTAGACGACCGGATGGCGTAGTGGTTTGTGTAACGGACTGCTAATCTAAAGGTCGCGGGTTCGATTCCCGCTCAAGTCAAGTATTTGTTAATAACTTAATGTTTGATTTGGTCTGAGTGTTTCTATGTATAATATGTATGTATTTACAAAAAAAGTATAAATTTATTTATATCAGTTGTCTAGTACCCATAGTACAAGCTACAAGGGAATGTGTTAGAATATTATAATTATTATAATTTATACTCTTTTTAGTAAGAAATCTTTTTAGTACGTCTCTATTAGGACATTATTTTCCCAATCAGTTACTTCATGACAAGTACGGGTTTTACGAAAAAAACTCGTCAATAACTGTTATTATTACAAGTTTATTCTGTATATAATTATTGAAAGGGATAAATGTCGTAGCCTTGGTCACTTGCTATTATCATATCGGATTCGTTAGAGGCTTTTGACTCTTGCAGCAACTACCTTCTCGGGTAACAAGTACCTTCGCAAACTTGATCTGCTCGGGCTATTACTCTTCAATTCAAGCAATATTCCTCACCTCCCATTGCCTTCTCTTCTTATTTAACTTTTCCTTCCAATGTACTCTCAATATCATAATAATATGAATAAATATGTATACACTAAGTTTTATAAAATGTAATGTTGACCGTTCCTGAAGCTAATCCAAACCCAATCCTGTGCTGTTCAATCCACTCATGGTGAACGTTTAAACAGATACTCAATGAATCATAATAAGTGAATTCGGAGACAAATTATGTTTAAGAAGATACTGTCTGTAATGTGATATTTTAAATTTCATACTGCCATTTTACACAGGTTTTTTTGTGTATGTGTTTGATCTTTGAGGAATCGTTTGGAGTCAATCAAACATATAAAATATCAAATGTCAACAGGATACAAGGTAGTTGCTTTAATTGTATTACCAAACTAACACAGTCACAAACATTGCTAGTTAAACAAAAACTTTTCAAAAGTCAAACCATTCAGTAGTTAATTGTATTTGATGTTACAACGAATAAAATCATGATATGGAACTTAGTTATTGTATAGTATTGGATTATTAATGAAAATTTATCAGATAACAATTCAAGTGATCACGCACGATTCACTTTTCATAGTTACTTGCTTGCTGCATGGTAGATGTCAAAATGATGTTATTTAAAGCGTTTTTTCAGTCTTTCTATCCGAGCGGCCTGTGGGTTTTATATACAAGCCGAGCCTACAACGTCCTGCGCGTATAATATAACATCGTCGTCTAGGATGTTTCGGTTGCCGTGGTATTGTACCATATGCATGTAAGCGGTAATGTGTCAAGCATGTTTGCCGAAGTTCACACAGACTGTTTCTATGCTAGCATGCATAAAAAAGCGGCTTCCCTTGCTACACCCGGAACGGCATCCTGAAACTGATTGCTAATAGGCCATACTATGCTACACAAAGGCACTGGGTGGAAATTGCTATATACATAGTGAAAATTTTACAACTATTAAGTTTCCTTAATAACGATACTGATCTAGACTATAAGTACATTATGTTACTAACTAACCCATTGCTAAACGACCTATGGACTGTACTGTGTACATATCTGAAATAAAGATATTTTATTTATTTTATAGTACATTTAACAATGTTTTATTCATTTTTTTTAATGTGTGTGCTTTTTTGGAGGTATTTTTTTTAAACTAACGAAATTAGGTTCTGTTTTAAAAGTAAATGTTTTGTTAGGGCGTTCTCCGCCGCCCATGTAAAACAAATCATACTTTTAGCTACCCACGATCAATTCACAATGCAAAACAAATAAGTATATTATGATATTCATAAAGTTAAATTGTTATAAATATTTTTATAAGCGGCAGATTTTGTATACTTTAAAACCCCGTAGTAAATTCAAGAAAAATATACCCTTAATTTACTTAACACGAAATTTAAGTTAAGATAAGAAGGGGTTTCTGTGTTACTACATCGACATTAAACAAACACAAACAGCCTAAACAACCTATATTTTGCAAGGTTTTAAATAATTCGTTAGTTCAAATTTATCTTCTATTTAGCAGGTCATTTTGTTTAATTGTGTTAGTTAGTACCTACATCAAAAATCAAGTACTACAATACACTTTGGTCGATCGCAAGAAAAATATATGCAAACAGAATAACGTGAGGGCCCTTATTAGGACCAGTGTCCAGGGTCCTTATTAGGAGGCGCGCACGCACTAATTATTTCGTACAAAAACAAAATGTCTTCTGTCGCTGTACTGTTTATAAATATCTGTCTCTTTCACTCTTACGAGTATGCTGCTCTGTTTCCTATTGCACTTGTAGCGTTTGTTTTGTTTTAAAATGCATTAATAGATGTTACATATTTATTGTTAATGCATTTTAGAACAAAACATACGTTACAAGTAGTGTTACGGAACAAATATTTTCATAATTGTTTATGATACAGTCAACTACCCTATTCTAAATTGAGTTCTAATTAAAAACTTTGTTACCTACTACGTTATAATTCAACACGTCAGAAACTACATACTCGTGTGCATCAAGATGATGTTTAAAGCTGTTGTTTATTAACGACGTAAACAAATGCGATAAGTTGTGTGAACGTGCTTGCGTGTTTACCGTGGGAAAGCCAGGCTGCGGCACACATGGGGCGACTGGATTGGAGTGATATCACATTCTCAAAAAAACAGATCTTAAGCAATTCTCTCGTTCCTTTTCACCGAATGAGTAAGGTTGCCGAATGCCGTAAATGGTCACTGAAAGGGCCGCAGCGTGCTTGTTTCTCTTGAGTTGGCATATGGTTTGGGTGGTGACAGTCACTTACCATCAGAGGCCCAAGTGTGAGTTTCTATGTATAATGTGTATGTATTTACAAAAAAAAGTATAAAGTATTCTATCAGTCAATCTAGTTTTCTATAAGCTCTGGTTAGTATGAAACTAGATGGCGTTGTGTGATGGATGTCCGAAATAGTTGTCTAAAAATATTTTATTTTGTAAATGATACATGATAGTTGTTACAGTACATTAAAGCTCATCTATATTTTATCAGTGGCATGCAAACATATTTTGTATTAGGCTAAGAGAACATGGTTTTTAAATTCAAAGCCATAACAATATTAATATTAAATCTGGACATTCGGTAATAAAAATCGATAGTAAACGTAGAACACACACTGCACAATATACATAGAGATTTATTTTATTTATTTGTTTATTTTACATCTACTCGATAGTCATGGTGACCACGTCCGGCATTGCAATTGGTCCGCGCTGAAATCTTAACCAACCGCAACACCGAACGTGCTCGCTGTCGAGAGCGAGTTGATGTGAAATAAACTTCCACTAAGCCTTCAGAAGCCCGCTGCTCGTTTACAATCTAAACGAAAGAAATGTGTGCTACACCTACTTTATTAACGATTGTTCGGTGCCAGAAGATGACTCTTTTGCCAGTTTTGCCCGCCCGCTCCTTTGCCCGCGGCTCCACCTACGTGCACGTCGGTTATCGCGGTAAAACGTATATATAAGTCTATGTCCTTCCTCAAAAATCGAAACTATCCCCATATCAAATTTTATCACAATCGGTTTCAACGGTTATTGATTTCACCTACAAACTCCCGCCCCCCTCTGCACCCCCTTAAACGACAATTTCTGGGATAAAAACTTTCCTGTCTTTTCCCTGGACTCGAACTATCCCTATAGCAAATTTCATTTAAATCGGTTCTGCGGTTTAAGCGTGAAGAGGTAACAGATATACGGACAGACACACTGGTGCTGATTCTGTTGTTCGAAAACTCTCTAAACTAAACTAAAAATCACTAAAAATAATTTTTGTCCTGTCAAATATTACGTTTTCAGAATAGGAAACGTTTTTTGACAGAACTAAACAATTTTTTAGTGATTTTTAGTTTAGTTTAGAGAGTTTTCGAACAACAGAATTAGCACCACTGCCGTATTTATAATATCAGTATGGATTTACATGAAATCGTTCAATATTGTTACCAATATCATTAGGTATATAATTATTTCGTAATATCTTCATCATCAGTGATATTGCATAGAGTGGTAATCTAAAACGCGATGTTTCATAGCTCAGTCAAACTAATTACAATTAGCCTTTTGCCGCGACTTCGCTTGCGTTAATGTATATTTTGTCAATCAATTTGGGTAACCTTCAGACAGTGTTTATTTTTACTCTTTTTACCATGAAAGAAATTCTATGGAAACATATTACTAATATTAGTTAGGACGCTAGCTTTCGTATTTTCAATATTACTAATATTAGTTAGGATGTGAATGTGAGCTTGCTGTTTATTATGCTTTTATATTTAAGCTATTAAACGATTATCGTGAAACTTTGCATACACGATGTCAGGGAGACAGATATGGTTATACCTTAGAGGTTCGTTATCGTTGAGCAGAGTGTAATTCGGGAATGGCGCTCGCATGTCTTACTTTTATATGAAACTGCCTTAATTAACTGTATCGCTTAACATACATACATAAAACCATATCTAGAAACAATAAAAGTACAGGTTTCGACTTCAACCTCATTTGTTGAAGACTACAGAAAAATTAGTAGTAGTTGGCCAAACCCTCCTTTCTAAGGAGAGGCTTATGTCCAGCAGTGGACTATTGAAGGCTGTTGATGAAAGAAAAATTAAACGCGTCTGTCAAGTAGTGAGAACAGAACTCGTAAATCGTAGTACTAATCATTAAATGTTGACGTTCCGGTGGGCAATGCCAGTTGACATAACCCACGATTGATTTTAAATCGATCGACGATCCAAGAACACTGGCTGTCTGGCTCCACAAGAACAAATTATGTTTAGTTATTAAATGCTCTTTATTACATGTATTCGTATTTTGCTCTTTATCTTTTTTTTTGATAAACGTTAGGAAGATTACAAAATCATTTTCTAAATCTCCTCCTTGCAGTCAAAATGCAATTCAAGCATTTTTAATATTCACTAATACCGGACATTAACATGCGCGTTCGTGAATATTGGAGAGATATTTTCGTATTCGCGAATGTGAAAAATTTGACATTCATTACGTCACTAAATTTTGAACTTTGTAGTGGTCTTCATTACTTTTTTACCCCAGTTTGTCATTGAGACATAAACCAGGCAATAAATCAGGCATATTGGGTAGGTTGGTACTTAACTGTAACTCGCCCGCAGGCTACACTAGCTTTATATTGAGTGTTACATTTGAGATAAACTCAAAACTTATTTGATTAAACCTTTAATCCTCCGCATTTGGTAGATGTAACAAAAAATTAAGTTATACTTTTTTATTTTATTTTTTAAGTAAAACAACCATCTCAATGGCCGACCAGTGACTACTGAATTGCGACGGTTCACAAGATTGAAGCACACATTTTATCAGCCTTCATATTTTGTCTATAGTTTATAATTAACCTTTATATATCGTTCTTACAGGGTGATGATCCGAAACCTCCAGATCGACACTACCCTGTAAAACATGCAGGACTTCCACGAGGGCTGGCTGTCTACCCGCTCCCATTAAAGAACTCCGACCATGAACTCAACTTCAACGTCTCATGGCTTCCGCCTTTCGGTATGAAAAAAATATTTTTTGATTAATATGTGTATTAGATGTGTTGTGTCAAGTCATTATATCATTTATAGATGTCGTTATATGTACATTGAAACAAACCTATGTATGATAGAGGTCTATGTCCAGCAGTGGACTATTAGAGACTGATAGATGATATCTATCTTCATCAATCCCATAAAATTATTTTTGTATTGCGCATCAAAGATTTAAAAAGCGATTACGATATAAACGTAAACATATCGTAATCACATTTATATATTTTTATCGTATATTTATCTGTCTAAAAACGTATATTTATATCGCGTATGTCACAGAAACGCTTCCAAAAACGAAGACAGACGATAGTATTGATAGTCAGAAAAGAAATCAATATCAATGAAAATAAAACAATTTTTTACATCGTCCATTGGTACATTATGAAACTGTAATTTCATAAAATAATTACGGTGCAAGTTTTGTTACAAAAATTAACATCACAAATCAGCTGTATTCGATTGACATTCGGGCCAAGGTTCATCGACGCCACGTGCTCTGGGCTGATCTTTTGTGACCCATGATGAAAGTATCATTAGTACTATCGTCTGTTTTCGTATTCAGGAGCAGTTCCCTAATACTCTGTATATACCTCGTGGCCAGATCTTAAACTTGAACACTTCATGATGTGTTTAAATTTTAAATATGTAGTTTACAATATAGTTCCATTCTGTTAGGTTTCACTGCACTTTATTTCTTTTATATTTATATGATGATTTACTTTTAAAGAAAATAATTAACCGCTATCATGATGCGCCATTAAAATAAAACATATCACTGTTGTCTGGCAGGATCAATTATAAACAGCACTTTATAATTGATCCTGCCAGATCGCATCATGAAGAGATCAATTTTATGATACTCGTATGACATCGATAGATATCGATTGGAATAAATAAAAATTAATAAATATTTTATGGCTTTATCTATAAAGCCATAAAATATTTATTAATTGTAACGAAGTTCCTTATCGCGCGTTGTGAAAGGGGGCTAGACGGAAAAAAATCGTACGAAAATTTGGAACGACACTTTTTTATTAATATAAATTGACGTCTAACTGTGGATACCATACATTAAATTTGCTTTAACGTTCGCCAACGTCCATACCATGTTGAATACACCGGTTCTCGTCCGATCATCGAAGTTAAGCAACATCGGGCGTGGTTAGTACTTGGATGGGTGACCGCCTGGGAATACCACGTGATGTTGGCTTTTTGCTCTTTATTTTCGTGTCATCTTGTCAGACATTCAGCGCCATCCATCGAATAGATAGGAAATCATTTCGCAAGGAGATTTTACCAATGTATAAATTGTTTTAATTGTTTTTAATATGTAGGTAATAGCCGCTTTCATAGATGGCGTTGTAATTAAAATCGCGTCAAATCAGTTTTACTCGATCGTCACAACTTCGTTCCTATCGGGTGTCCCACAACACCACACGGCTTTTTTTTATTTATTCTCACGTACACAATAAGAGAGGATAGTTAGCTAGAAAACATTAACTTGGAGATAGTGTTTATAATCTTCTATATATAATCTTAGTTTTTGTTATTGATACTCTAATATATCCAGTTATTTGTTGGATTTTTATAACATTTATTATGAAAAGTTAAACATTGTTCCTGATTGATAGATATAGATGACTCTTTATTGTACAATAAAAACATAGTGAAAATACAGTTTGTATACATTGGTGTGAGTCTTATAATCTAGTCATGTGAAAAAAAAACAGTACTGTACGAAAATTTGCATAACATCATTTATCAATACAAACACGGCGCGGAAGTGTTTTAAAACAAACTACATAAGACAGTATTTAATATCCTAGTCTTTAATAACATATTTATATTATTGCTATTAGACTTTTGCTCTTTAACTTTTGACATAAATAAATATATTTTAAGAAGTTCCTCCCCAGTTCCATGTAGGTAATATTTATTTGTTAATGCAGCTCAATGCTTGTTTTAGAAGAAGATAGAGCAATAAAGAGGATCTAACTCTTTTTTGTACACCAAAAAGTATTCTTCAATCAGGGAATAAATTATGTCGTCCTTATCGTAGTCCTATAAATATCCATACTAATACAATAAAATAAAAATAGCCTTTATTCTACTACCAATAATCGATAATTACACAAATTATTTTTATCATGGTCTGAATAATATCTTTAATCGATTACCTGTAATTAGTATACTATGTATTAACATTTCTATAAATTATCAATAAGCAATTATAATTACACATTTAATTATTTACAGTAATAAAAACATTTAAAAAATTGTAATTTCATAATCTCTATCATTTCATTATAATTTATTATTTTTTATTTAACATTTTGTATTGTTATCTTTTTCTATTTATTATTGTGTTAAATAACTATTAGGTTTAAATATTTTTTAGGTAATAGTCGCCTTTTTGGCATAGGCCTCCCCCAATACTTTCCACTGCCTTTTGTCTCTGACTGTTCTCATCCAATCCGATCCATCACTTTGTGTAAAAATGTCTCTCTCAGGATCTTGTTCTTTATCGCCCTCTCCTTCTCCTTTCCTCTCTGGGAAACCACTCTATTACTTTTTTTTGTCCATCTATTGTTTTCCATTCTACATACGTGACCAGCCCAGTTCCATTTTAATAACCAGATTCTTTCTCTTATGTCCCTGACTTTTCGTTATTGCTCTAATTTTTTGTTACTGATTTTGTCTCTTTATTTTATGTCTAACATATCCTTTCCATTTTTCTTAGACAAATTACTAGTTTTTCTTCCTCTTTTAAAGACCAAGTTTGACATCGGTAGGTTATACTTGGCAGGACCACTACTTTATAAATCTTTTTCTTAATTTCTAATTTTACTTCCTTGTTTTTCATAATTTCCTCTAATGCTCAATATTTTTGCCATGCTATCGCAATCCTTCTGGTTACTTCATTTGCAACTTTTAAACGATATTGAGTGTCCTAAAGTAGATATATTCGTTCACGTACTGTATCTTATTACCAACTACTATAATATCTATGGTTTCGCCATTTGACAGAATCTTAGTCTTCGAGGCGTTTAAAGACAAACCAACCTTTTTGCGCTCCTTTGATCTATCTACTATAAATCCCAAGTCGGTTATCTGCGAAAAGCACTATGTCGTCCGTAAACCTCAAGTAGTTTAAGAGGTCTCTTCCTATTTTTAGATCAATATTCTCCCAATTCAACTTCCTGAATATCGACTCTGATTGGACACTTAAAACAAAAAACAAAAGAATTGGAATATAGAACTAAACATCAACAAGAAATAATTATTCTAATGGAAAAACAATTAAGGAAGAAAAATGTTGTATTTTTCGGAGTAGAAGAGTCAGAAAAAACTACATTTGATTATTGGTCACAACAAAAAAAAAGTGAATTACTTGTTTAAAAGAAGAAATAGAGGAAGTCAGGAGTGTTGGTAAAAATAACAATAAAAGGCAATGTCGTTGTATTATGTAACATGGGAAGGAAAATAGAAAATTTAAGAAACAAAATGCCTTTTTGTTTATATATATACATATATACATTAAACATAATTATCCTAATAACTAAAGAAGAAGAGAAGAAGAAAAAGAACTAAAGCAGGAACGAGAATCGGGGAAAAAGGATGATTTACATTATGATAAGGTAGTACATATAGAAAATAAGGGAAAGAACAACATACGCACGCAAAAAAGGAACTTATCACAATCGCCCGAATCAGTGGAGAACATTAACTAAGCCAAAGGACTAGATAATAGTAACGAATGTGAAACATAGTTTAAAGAAAAATAGGAGAGACAATATTACTTCTTTCTTTCGAAATGAACCACATAACACAAATGTATGTAACAAGGTATATGAACCAAAAACGAAGTACAGCTTCTCAGGCTCCCTCAAGCCGGCTGGTCACCGTGGAAGAGTATGACCGTCACCCCGATTCTATAACGACTAGAAGAAAAATCTCTACATTTGTACCTTAAACGATAGCCGAATAATAGAACTACTACTACTAACTACGCGATTAAGAAATTTAAGTTGAACCTCACCTGGTCTTTTATACAGGTATACGCATCTACCGAAAAGTACAAAGAAGAGGACATGAAGCTATTCTACAATACAGCAGAGTAAGCTTTGAACTCAGTTGATTCTAAGTACATTATTTTGATGGGAGACTTTAATGCGCAGATTGGAAAGACTAACCAGGTGAAAATCAAATACTAGGCAGGTATTCATATAGACGCCGAAGCCCACATGGACAAAAATTGGCAGAGTTCGCATTAAAAAAAAACCTGAAATGTTAAATTAGTATGTTCAAGCAGAAAACCCATAAAAGATGGATTTGGCGATCAACAAACGGCTAAGTTTTAAACGAGATATATACAATAGATAGATACATAGATACAAATACGTAGATACAGATACATAGATAGATAGCCAAATATAAAATACGCAAAATAATATAGAAAATCCGAGTATATCAGCAGTTTAAGACTTAACAACAACACCAAATGAACACAAAAGAACGATAAAAAAATCAAGATAACGTGACCAATTAATTACTGAAAGCGTCCTCGTTAATAAGGCCTCTACAAATGCTCTTTGATAATGTAATAGGAAAGGAAATGACAGCCTAACATTGTTCAAACTTAACAAAAGTTTTACTCCATAAAAAGGTGATAGAAATAACCTGGGCAACTATCGGCCTATAAGTCTGATTTCAAACATATATCGCAAAGATATAAAGTCTTCGCAAAGATAGTACTAAATAGAATAACAAAAGCACTCGACAAACATCAACCCTCAGAACAAGCTGGGTGGCGCAAAAACATGTAGTCACACAAATAATAGGAAAAGCTAACGAATACAATCAACGACTATAATATATATAATAATAATATATTTTATTGTTCTCTCTCACACAGATATGGTTACAATAAACAATCTTACTCTAGGTTATTTTGAGTGAGTCTGTGTGAGAGACTGGTATCTGTACTAGGTTCGTAGACCTGTATGACAAATTACCAGCCTCCCCTAGCTCTGGACGGTTGTGGTGCGTTAAGCAGGTACAACCTGTTTAGGAGTGAGTAGTTATTATTATGTGAAGTGAATGAGAACGCATAGTATGTGAATGTGTGTATATGTGGGTGTGTGTGTAGCGTGTGTGTAGGGGAGTGGGTGTGTAGTGTGGTTTGAGTATTTGTGTGGATCCTAAACTCTAGGGGGACAGCGCATTTCAAGACGGGACCTGTAACAGGCTCTCTGTACTAGACTATACATGTGCTTCATAGTTCTTGACATAAACTTTTGACTATTGCTATTTGGGTGTCGTTACTGCAACTCCGAATAACATATACTCCAAATGTAGGGCAAAGGTGAGATTAAAAAAAGAAGGCTCAGAATTTTAACTTCAGAAAAGAGGCAGACAAGGCGACCTATCGCCTAAAATGTTCTCAGCGGTACTAGAGTCGATATACGGGCAGTTGAATTGGGAGATTTAAGCTATAAAAAAACAATTGAAAGGCTATTTATGAAAAAACTACCTTTTATTGAAATAAAATATTACAAACAAAAAGAAAAAAGTAAGTAAAGCTGTCTGTAAAATTTTACTTTTGAAGTGTCACCAGTCTTTTAGCTATCTCATTTGTTATTTAAAATGTATTCCTTAGTGTCAGTTCCATCTTTTAACATAAAGGTTTTTTGTTGGACTGACGTAATCACGGAGAATTATTTTATAGAATGAATACCGTCAACAAGGGAGGACAGGAAAATTTGTCTTTCTAAAATTGCTTGATATAATAATAATATTAATAATATTTTCACACATTTCACACACGGCCGTCTGATCCCAAACTAGGCAGAGCCTGTACTATGGTAACCAGACTGCTGATAGACATACACATATATTTCTAAATACATACATATTATAGATATAGTACACCCAGACACAGAACAAATGACCGCGCTCATCACACAATTATTTGTCCTGGGTGGGAATCGAACCCACGACCTCTGGCGTAGCAGTCAGGGTCACTAACCACTAGACCAATACAGCCAGCCGATATGTCTAAGCAATTGAAATGTTTATGGTTTATATGTAATACTTTCCTAAGTGAAGTTACAATTTTGCCTTATGCAACATATGTCCATACTTCTATACTAATAATAGGTCTTTACCTATGAAGTTGGACATTTTTAAAACCAGCATTTTCAGAATTTATTATCTGTGGATTGGCACGCATTTCGAAATTCAAGTTATTACACTTTTTATTTTAATTTAAAATTCAGTCATTTGTTTGATTGTGTTTTGTTTTTGGGAAATTGTGGTAGTTTTTGGTGCCATGGACAAACTAAACATTTGTAAATTTTTTGAATATGAGTTCCTACGTTCCTACGACGTGCCTAACACTGCTTGCATAAAGGCATTCCATTATTGGTTCAATCGTTTTAGATCCAGAAATTTTGAATAGAAGAGAGAGAGAAGAGAGATTGAGCCTCCCGGTCGTCCAGTAAATATAGTCGACAACGATGAATTGAAGATGATAGTGGAAGCGGATCCAACTCATTTTACGTCTGAGCTTGCTTTGGAGTTAGTGTCAAAACAACATTAAAGCACTTGCGTCGAATCGGTAAGACAAAAAAGATAGATAGATAAATGGATGCCACACGAACTAAGCGACCATCAGCAAGACTTACGCGTCGAAGCATGCATAGCACTACTTAATCGGCATAGAAACTGGGGAATGCTGAATCGAATTGTTACCTGCGATGAAAAGTGGATCCTGTAAGATTAAACGTAAGTGTTCATCTCTAGGGTGGACGAGTTTCTGTGGCGCACTAATTAAGTGCTGTACCCGGGGTACAGCACTTAATTAGTTTCTTCTTTACATAGCATAAAATGAAGTCGTTGCGAGCCCCTTTTACGCGTAGATCTTTAAAATATTAAAAAAAAAATTTAGCAATACAGAAAGTGATTCAAGAGAAATATTTATATGTACATACATTATGGTAGAGAAAATCCGACAACTTCAAAGATTTGTAAAAAACGTGTTGTTGTGCTGATCAAAATAATGTACTACAGAATTGTGCAATTTATAAAGATCTACAAAAAAGTACTGTTTTATATATTACTATCTCCTAAGGATAACCTTTTTTATCTTTACAGTTTACATAAAGTAATGTGTTATTTACGAAGCTATTCTAAACAATACAGTATTATTTTTCATCCAAAAAGTTCTTGACACGACGGCATTAAATGTTTGACACGAAGGAACATTTTTATTTTTGTATTGGAAAAGACAATTTACAATTTTCCTCGAATTTTCAATATTTATCACCTTTTAAACTTTCCCTGTACTTTCACAAACATATCAAGACTTAAATTTATCAAATTGGTCCAGCCATTCCCCAATTTTAGGAGGCAGGACTTACGAACAGAAATTTATTTTTAAAATAAAATTAAGATATCCTGTAGTCTAATCACAATAATAATAGAACTAATATTACTCCACACTGACACCACATTAGTATGTGTCTAAATTGCGCGTTGATAGTTTATTACAAATGTGGAAGTGAGTTTGTTTGTTAAGCTTTCGCGCCTAAGCCACTAAATCGATTTTAAAATTTCTTTGTGAGTGTGTGAGTGAGTAATATAGGTTGCTTTTTACTGCGATAACCGACATACATGCGGGCAGAGCAAAATCTAGTATTTTATATATTTGTTCCATAACACATAATATTTACCTAAAATCAACAAATGGAATTGGCACATTAAATTTTAAACAAAAATACTAGATGCCCGAATCCTATGAGTCATCGGAACAGAAAATACTCTCAGTAATATTTATGATTTGAAGTACATATTGGTCCTCGTCATAAAACATATCAGAATTAGTATTAATCGCAGAAATCGTAATAAAAAGAATGTGTCTTATTATTACGATTTCTGTGGTATTAATAGATATATCGTGTTTTCTCGGCATCAGTTCCTAATCCATTAACCGTTATTATTGCTGTCAATGTATCACCCAATCTATTTAATTTGCAGTGTTTATGACGGTAATACAAATTACTAATACATTTATGTTTCTATTTAGTTTGCACTGGTTAAGATCTCGTTATATTTAGGTAGGATATTGATGATCTAACTAACAGATTTATTTGTATATGCTTTATAATAAAAATAATCTTATAACACAGTTTACCAAAGATTTATTGCGCCTGATCATCTACGACTATTCTAGGCCTCTTCATTGCTATTTATATCAAAGCTCTGGCATCGACTTTTTTGGTCAGGATGTTATTGTCTTTGTTCCCCTTCTTGGTGTACACAGATAACATAGTACGCAAAGGAGCAATACAAGACTAGTTATTTAGTTAAGTATTTTGCAAAATGTATCTGTTCTGTTGTATTATTGAATAAGTCCAGTTATAAAAGAAAATTGCTTCATCACCCTTTAAAAAAAATAAAATCACTCTTATGTAAGGTTTAATGACAGTAGAGAACACCTAATTCCTCATTCTGTAGACATTAAATTGTAATAAGTGTTAACATCTCTGTAACATATACAAGGACAAAATTCTATATAGTGAAACGATTAAATTTAAAACTGTTTTTAAGTTTTACTTTTTTCTTTTGTTCTAGGACCGCCAGCAAGAGACTACTCTCTAGAAGTACGGAGTGTAACAGACACAGTGGACTGTCGGACACCCATGTGCTATGAATATAACATTCCAGGGGTGAGTATGTCATCCTTTTGTAACTGTGGAATACATTTATTCCACAGAGTTACAAAACACAGAGATGCAGAGCTCTTAACATACATATATTCACATCTCTGCAGTTATTCAAGACGCACATCGCATTAACATCTATTTTGTAAGTGTTGATACTATTAATCATATTGCAGCAAATATGTACAATAGAATTATCAAGTTGTTTATCTCGTTCAGATCACCTATTTTATGGACTCTTTCTACGAACGATAGTACTCTAATACATAAAAAGTGGACCGTACTCAAGCGTGGTTATACAATATTAATAGATATTTTACATTATATGTTAAACTATCCGAGGCTTACAAAATATGTTACAACCGTTCTCCCTCAACAAAGTTTCGGACTTTTAAGTCTGTTAAACATAAATGAGAAAGATAAAGAATATATTCCTAATATACAACACAATTACATCTACATTGATATTTTGTGATAGAAAACTACTTCAACTACGAGTAGAGTATACCAGCATGTTACTGTAAGATGATTTTAGCCGTAATATTACATCTCTAAGCAACTAAGTATATATAAGTATATATATAAGTGTAGGTATTAGGTATAGCATAATGTGTTGGGGAAATAGTTACGAGTATAATGTACACAGGGCGTTTGTTCTGCAGAAACGTGCTATTAGGATAATGGTTCAGATCTCACAAAGTGACTCTTGCAGGAACCATTTCAAGAGCTTAGGAATCTTAACAGTACCTTGCTTATACATTTTAACTATACTTACCAACTTCGCTAAGTACATACACGAATACGAGACAGGACGTGAAAGAGAAGAAAGAGAATTAACACGGCGAAAAGCTCTAAAAAATAAAATAGCACCTAAACTAAATATAGTCATGCATTGCGCTCGATATCAGTCGGTCGAGTTATTTAATCGATTACCTGTCCATCTTAAAGAGATGGTTTATAACACTGACATTTTCAAATCCCGATTAAAGGAATTATTGTTAGAAAAGTGTTAATATTCTGTGGCGGATTTTGAGCATTGAGTGAATGGTCTATTCATGGATGTGGAAAAATTGCAAATTTTATAAATTGTATCCCCCCCGGTATTTTATCGACATTCATATTGGTATATTACATAATAAACCCGGAGACAACTTCAAATTACCTAACCACAATTTTGACAGTATTTTAATGACATTGAATTTTTGACTGCTTGTGTTGGTTTTTATATTTATCTATTTGTATTGCATTGTATAAATTAAATTCGTTAGAAACTTAAGTTAACATGTAAGCATTTCAAACACAATTTTTATTGTTACTGAATAAATAAATAAAAAAAAAAAAAATTTGAAAGCAGTTCATAACTATTTTGCTAGGATCTTAACATAACATAACTTATTAGTTTAATTAAACTGACGCGATCGTGAAGGTGAAAAATATCAAAGACCTATAATTTTCATTGCTATAATATCATCTACCTTTTATAAATGTATGTTATATTGTTAACTTGCATTGCCATATGTGCATAGACGGGTTGCGCACCCAATTGTAGTAGGCGATCGAATGGAAGTATTGTGTTGAGCAACGTTAACGTCCACGTTATGTTTAGAATATACTCTTATTATTATTAGTACGCAAGAATGTTTGAAAGGACAAGGACACACCTTTCAAAAATGTTTGCGTACTAATAATAATAAGTCAACATCTTTGACAAAATAATTGTGTTGTTTATAGAGAATGCTCTATAAACAACACGATTTTTTTGTCAAAGAAATTGACCAATCTCGCCCACACTTTCACTGGTATAATTCAAATAAGACATCAATCAAGGACAATACCAGGAAAGTTACATTCTTTATAACCCAACAAGAAATTTAATCAGAATTGTATTAGAAGAGTTAGAACTTAAATAAATTTCATTTTCTTTTAAGAAAGCCGTAAATATTACAATTTAAATAGATAGGTAAAGTGGCACCTAATATTGGGGGTTAAATTATGAAATTGCCCATTTGTACTGAAAAAAATTAAAACTTCTTTTTTCTAAGATGTAACATATTTATTTAATAATAATAATAATAATAATAATCTTTATTGCATTTAAAATTACACTCACTGTTGAGGTACAATATCACAATAGTACAAAATCTATGACACTGACGGTACTAAATGCTGTCTACCAAACTAGGCGAGGCCTGTATTTTGGATGACAATATCCAGCCGCAGGAAAATTTACATGTAAGATTACGCTAAAGTGAAATATAGGGCACTTGCAATACAGATACATAACAATAAAAATAAAATAGGTGTAATAAAAACTGTGTAGCGTAAGGACGTGAAGATGTGTGTGTGAGTGTGTGTGAGTGTGTGTGAGTGTGTATGTGTGTGTGTGTGTGTGAGTGTGTGTGTGTTTGTGTGTGTTATCGTGTGTGCGAGTCGAGTGTGAAAACGTGAAGATACCCAGTTTATCACAAGAGAGTAGAATGAAATAAATTATTTAATTGTTTGCAGTAAATTTTCTGTTTCTTGATAATTTAGCTTCTGAAGCCAGTTTGTAATTTTATTTTTAAGTTCGTGTCTTCTGAGACCTACAATATCTACTTCTCTGTTTATGTGGTTATAAAGTTTACATGTAATACTAACAGATTGACGACTGGCAAAGGCGGTTTTGAAATAGACCCTAGGACATACCGACATAAATCTTCGTCGCTTTGGGTTTGGAGGGGGTACATTTCTGTGCTTTCTCAGAATGGATTTTAGCACAAAGAGCTGTCGCACTGTTAGGACGTTGCAGTTTAAGTACAGTAAATGTGTTGGGTACCTGTAGGGTTTTTTGGTCATGACCTTTAGAACTGCTCTTTGTGCCCTCTCCAGACTGAGTAAATGGGTTTTAGCGGCTCCTCCCCAAACTGTGATACAGTAAAGAACCATGGATTCGCATAAAGCCTTGTAGACTAGTTTTATCTTGTCTATTGTAGCGGCATCTCTCAGGGTTTTAAAAATATGTACTCGTATGAGAGGTCGCAATCGCGTTGTCACCATAGTAATATGAGTGTCCCATTTCAGACGAGAGTCTATGTGAACACCAAGATATTTTGCACTTTCTGCTCTTGTAAGTTGTTGGCATGTACAATTGACTTTAGAAAGGCATGTGTGTGCTTTTATATTGAAGTTGCAAGGAGGAGCGTTTGTTTTTCTCATTGTAAATGGAACATACAGCGTTTTAGTTAAGTTTAGTGTAAGGAGATTACCAGTGAGCCAATTCATGATCAGGGCTAGGGAATTTTCAGCTATCTCTCGCGTGGCACCCCAGTCAGGCCCCCAAATAAGGACTGCCGTGTCATCAGCATAGGTGAAAATGTTTGCATTTGGGATGGACAATGTGCAAAGGTCGTTTATGTAAAGCTGAAAAAGTGTGGGGCCTAGAATACTCCCTTGTGGGACACCGTATGAGACACTATTTTCTTCACTAACGTATCGATCTACTTTTACCTTTTGTCTTCTATTGGACAGATAATCAAAATATTTACCCTCATTATCTATACATTACTGCCATCTAAACAAAATTTCAGTCATGTCTTTACAATAGAACTCTGGGGATCTGGATTCGACAAACTGTGTAAAAGTATTTTGTACTACCTCTTGGGAAGAATTTTTTTTATCAAATAGAAAATTGGCCAAATCACGAAAAAAAATGGGTAGTCCGTTGGAGCATGGTCGGCGGTCAGGCGAGTACGGAGGATGACGAATGGTTTCTAACTGCATCTCCTGTAGAGTTACAACAGTTTCTCGTGCAGTGTGAGGTCTTGCGTTGTCATATCATGGTGAAGATCGATTCACGAGTCGGAGCTGTTTCACTGCCAGTTTCGCCATCATTGTTCAAAGTTCGGCACAGTAAACATCTGCTGTTATTATCTGACCACACATGAGAAAGCTATAGTGAATAACGGCATGAAGAGACCACCAAACAGTTACCATTACCTTTTCATTGGTAAGCTTTGTTTTAGGGCACTATTGCGGCGTTTGACCCGGGGTCAGCCATTGCATTTTTCGCTGACGGTTATCGTAAACAATCCACTTTTCGTCACATGTCACAATTTGATCCAATATTCCTTCATTTCTGTACCGATTCAACGAGGCAACACAAGTTCCGACACGCATTTCTTTCTGCAGATCAGTCAAATCATGAGGCACCTATTTTTCATATTTTTTTATATTATTAACGTGATGCAAATGAGTCCATATTGTAGGTAGGGTAACGTTAAACTATTTCGCTAATTCCTGGATAGTTTGACTCGGATCGTCTTCCACCATCTCGGTCAATGCAGGGTTACTCACCCGTGTGGGCGGTCTTCCACGTGGTTCGTTCTTCAAGTCGAAGTTTCCATTACGAAAGCATTTAAACCAAAAACGCACGCCGCGTTCATTAGCAGTCTCCTCTCCAAACGCAGCGTTGATATTGAGAGCCGTTTCTGCCGCGTTAGTTCCGCGTCGGAACTCGTATTCAAAATTGACTCGGATTTTCGAATCCGTTCGATCCATCTTTCACGTCAAAGCTGAATAAAAAAACAATTGAAAGTTGAAAGTCGAATTTTGCACATTTTTAAAAGAAGAACCTCAAAGGTATCATTTGAAAAAAGTTTCACACGAAAATCTAACATCATGAAGGTTTTATGTCAATCCAAAGTATCCATTGCTATACAACTGCAATTTTATACTTTAACCCCTATTAAAAAATGAGATACAATATTTTATTAAGGTTTATAGCGAAACGCTTAAACATACGGCATTTACATGTGGATATTAGCTAAAACAAGCTGATATTCATATGTAAAGATAAATTTCCTTCTTTATCAACTTTTAAACGGTTCATTTTGGACATTTTTTATTAAATAAAGAGTTATGATGTCATACTTAGTGATTTCCAAATTATTTACATTAAATATATAGGTTTAGTGGAGACCGGTTCGCCGGGAATCCCACACACGCTCTCCGTTTCCCCAACGGAGGGTATGGCACGAAAAACCTTCCCCGCGTACAAAAAAGATAAAGACCTAATTTTCACCTACTTAGGACCTCCTCATCCGCTCAATATACCTGCCTTGTACTACACGGATGGCTTAGTGGTTTAAGCGGTCGCCAAGCCGCTTCCTACTGCGATGAGTGTTGTGGGTTCGATCCCCACATCTGACACCACTTTGTGTGATTCACAAATTGTTGTTCTGAGTCTGGGTGTTCTTTGTGTCCGTATCATGTATGTTTGTAAAGTCCCCCGTTACACAGGATATATATATATATATATATATTCGTAATGCGGGAGTTGTTTCGAAAACACCATTTTTAATTTACATGATAATGTATTAAAATTATTTTTAAAATCCTGGATCTGCAAAAGGTATCGGGTTGTTGTTTTTCGTAGTTCTGTATTATTTTTATGGTGAATAAGATCATCCGAGAAAATTGAACAGGATAAGATGTTTTTAAATAACTATTACATGGAGCATTTCTTACTCCAGCAGCAGGCCTAAAATGCGGGCGTTTACTTTTTCCTGGTTTTGAAAAACCTCACTAGCTTTATGTTAGAGGAAGTAGTATATCACTGCTAACTATTGTTAACTTTTTACTCAGGAAAGTACTTGGTGGTTAATACCAGCGTTCTCAAACCCCGTTGTCGAGACTTGCGCGGTTCGTCCTGGGTGCGCTTATATGGTGAGACTCATTGCACACCCTTGGGATGGGCAAACCTCTGCCAACCTACTGGTGGAGTTAGATGGTAAGTGTTTATCGTTTCTTTAGTTTATTAGTTTTATTTTACCGATTTATTTATTATATCCCAATGTTTGTGAACGCGAATGTGAATTTGTTTGTTGGATTCTTATGCTTTATAACCTAATTCATGCTAAAAGGCCCATGCTTTGCATGATCATGATATCCCACGATATCTTGTCAAATGATGGGACTCACAAATTTGAGCCCCTATTTTGCTTTCTCTAAGTTTATTTTCGCAATATTTGTAATCTATGTCCTGCTTCGAAATTTTCTTTATTACTAAATCATTTCTTTATTCAAAATTCATCAACAATAGTTCGGTGGTTTAGAAAGACAGGTATTACTTACTGATTACTTTTACCGAGTTTCTATTAATTTTATCATGTTTTAGACTGACAAGGACGACATTTAATTTCCGATCTAAAACCAATTTGAACTTTATAAGAAACGATATTATTAAATATTCACATGACGCTGTCAAGCCACAGTTTCAGTTAATAAACTTAGTATTTAGAAAATAAGCAGCGAGTTACCTATTTATGATATACTTTATATAACATATAAGCTACACATATTAACGTTATCAAAGTATTGGATATTATTGCTAATATGTTAATCAGAAAAATAAAAAACCAGGTAAGTACATATATGTGATTGCGTCATGCCTTATTAACTCTCGCCTCACGTCTTTTGTTTTCCTTCAAGGATCAAATAATATCAAATTGTCTGTATCTCTAAATAATGAAAAGATATCAACCCGCGTACAGCCTACGCTATACAAAAAGGGTTTTTAGTTGGGACATAATGTTTATTTTAAGAGGGTTAGGTTTCTTAGCAACAGCTGACTCCAGTTACAGTTATTAAGTGCCCAGGTCCTGTACACATTGGAGCAAGTTGGGCTAATGTAATATGTATGTATTTAGAAATATATAAGTATGTTTATCAGCAGTCTGATTACCAAGGCCCAAGCACAGCCTAGCTTGTAATCAAATGGCCGTGTGTCTTTAATTATTATTATTTATTTTTATTCATATACGTACTAACTAACCTACAATTTTCACATACAAAAAGTATCCGGTTGACGATACGACGATGGGAATAGATTTTCTCTCTATTACGTGAGTGAGGATCATATTTAACAAAATGTAGATGTTTCATACTCCTTCGACAATGCGTTTAGGGAAAGGGCTGGGTGTAATAATGTACGAACCTTTTGAATTTACTAAGGGGGTCCGCTTCTAATTTATGTTAAAAGTAATTTAAAGTTTTGTAAGTATCGCGATATCTGAATTAAAGCAAAATATAATTTATCGGATACATATTGTAATATTGGCTTTGAATTTATGTACCTATGGTTAGAGTCTAGAGGTGATGTAAATGAGTGAATAAAAATATGAATAAAAGAGAGAGGACTAAGAACATCTTTTTTAAAAGGCACTCTGTTTTATACATCTCTAGTATCCATATATATTTAAAAATATTCATCTGCCTACGATTTTAATAATATTTTATTCTAATTATATTAAAGATTCTAATAAATATCAACCCTTTTATAATGATGATCAAAATGTCAATGATAAAGGGTACTTTATTTATCTTTGTGGGACCTAAAGTATCTTTCATCCCTGTAGTATCGATTATCGCAATTTTAAAACAATATTTGAGTATTATCAATATACTCGTATCGTACACAGTTATGTTGAAACGTTTTTAGTTATAACACTTATAACTCTTTTAATCCCGTGTAAACTGCATGAAAGGAGGTAAAGGTCAAATTACCAAATAAAGAGAAACTAAGCCTTAATTACCGGCAACTCTTGATCACCCTACAACTAAATTATCAATACGTTTTATGTATGAATTAAATTTTCCCCAGAATGCGTGGAGAATGTATGCTCATGCGCACATTCTCCACGTCTCCCTGCGCCTTTGGTGACCACAAAAACTGTGGTTATTCACGACGAAATGTTCGCCAACATAACCTGGAGCCTTCAACCGCCGCAGTACCTGCAGCGACTGCCTTCCGGGTTGAGAAAGAAGAGCTATATTGTCAGGTAGGTTTTTTAGAAGCAGACATTTTCACTAGGCCTAAATTTAGGAACTTAGACACATTTCAATAATCCGATGATTCCTTTTATAGAATAAGTCACTTGAGAACTAATGTTACAGATTAATTACTTAATACTAAATCGGTAGTATTAGCTCAATATTAAATAGATAGGTTTTTGAATCGTTACGGGACTCATCTTGGTTTACTTTTAAGTGTATTTGTTCTTCAATTTCTTTCTGTTTCTTTGGACTTTCAGGTATATTAATTAAAATTAATTTTTCCAAACTCTCCCTATTCATAAATATATCCTTTTGCGTTTAGTGAATTTAAAAATTGAACTTTAATTTTGAAATTTAAGTAAGGTATATCTTTTACAGTCTCGGTAAACAAATGGTGTCAGACGCACATCCAGCGCCATGGTTTGCGAATATCATAACTCGAAATGTAGACGCCGATGGTCTGATCTCCGTAGGTGATAGTCCACATTTTATACTACTACCGGTTATCGGACAGAAAGGGGAGCGGAAAGATAAACGACTAAAAAGTGACAAGCCTGAAGTCAAATTACTCGCAAGGGTGACTCTTATTGATGACAGAGGGTGTTTGGGGCCAGCCGGCAATGCCACGGCTTTTAGTAAGTATATTATTTTGCCACTCGTTAGTGTTAACATTTTTCAAAGTAAAAAATGCACGAATTGCTTAATTAATAAAAAATCTGTCTAATACACTTTTGCATCACCAAGCGCTTCACATATTTACATTTATTGGTGAAGGTAGAGATATTAATTTTCTAAAATATTGTTTTTACAGACCCATCTGCAGAGTCCAGTAAATTTTCATTCGGGGTTTATGTAAGTACATTTACTGGGTAATTTCTTTTGTTATTTTTTATTAGTTTAATTTTTGGCTCATCCTAGTAAACATAAATAAAAGACGAATAACATATCCACTGCACTCGATTGTTTGAGCAGCACATTTGTTTGAGAATAGGTAGCTATATTTGTTTGCCATCCAGGATATGCAAAAAACTTTTATTTATTTTTTAATTTATCCAGGCCGTCATACTGGCAATAGCAGGTGCCTGGGTACTGGGCGTGGTGTTTGTACTCAGTGCACGCTTTGTGAAACACGTGCTAAAATCTCTCCGCTCCACTCCTGTGTCTGCTCCGCTTGAGACAATAAGTCGTCGCCCTGCGTGGTTCCCACTGCAGTTGCGTACGTGAGTAGTAGAATATAAGTTTAATATTTTTTGTTTATTAATTTAGCTGAACAGTTTTAAAACAATGTTAGAGTATCATCAATATATCGCACTCAGTAATGCTGAAAACTTTTTAGTTATACCTCTTTAGTCCCGTGTAAACTGCATGAAAGGAGGTCTAATTAATAACTAAGCCCTTCAACACCGACAATTCTTGATTACCCTATCACTTTTTCGTTTCGTTCTTTGTAAAACCACGTTAGTATTTTTTCATTTTTTATCTAGTGATTAAAAGCGTAAGCTGTAAAGCTTAGGACAATGGAAGCGATTATCTATAGGTACTCGGTCTTTGTACTGGATGAGGTAGGTACTCAATAGGTACCAATAACGTAGGTAGGTAGGAAATGGTAACAACCACCAAACATTCCATTGTAATTTTAAGTAACACTAGAGAACAAATGGGTAGCGTCAACTATGTTCCTTAACTTCTTAGAAAATGTAATCAAAATGAATATCATCCTTTACAAAGCTTTAGTATATTAATTATTTATTCATCTCCAGTGATAAAAGTCAGTTTGGATGCCATTTTTCTAAAAGCCCGTAATGGTAAAACATACCAAATTTATATTAAATATATGTATATAATATTATATTTATATTAAATAAATGGGTATTTTATGAATATTTATGAAAATTTTCAGGTAGATATAGGCCTTAACTTAAACAAAACAGTATTTATGTGCGCCGTTATAGCTCTCTTACAATGTCAATGAGATTGTTATTGTTCCTGTCATCAGCAAATAACACTAGATGTACGCACTGACAAAAACGTCTTTAACATCTCCGATGAACTCTGTTTAATGGCTGATAAACTTAATAACTTTGAAACTTACTTAAACTGATTGGAAGAGTCTTGCCGCAGATTTGGACTAGTCATAAGAGTCTCCAAAACACAAATAATGAAACAACCAGGCCGAGGTCGAGGTCCAGCTCGAGGACACTATTGATACCACGGCCATAACACTATGCGGGTGAATTCTGTGCGAGAGGAGGTGTTACCATTCCGCTACCTGTGGAGCACCGTTCGTGACGACAACCGCTTTGTCACAGAAATCTCTTCTCGTATTGCTAAAGGCTGCCGCAACTTTCGACAAATTAACAATGACATAAAGCACCTTGTCACTTTCCACATGAAATGTTTAAGGACCATTCTGCGCGTCAAATGGCAAGTCCATGTCCCCAACTCAGATATCCTACGCCGAACGGGACGATGGGCATGGAATCTCTACTAATGGGGGGGGGGGGGGGGGGCAGCTCAGATTGTGTGGTCATATAGTACGTACGTATGAAACTCAAGACTTCCCAAATGTGTCATTATCTTCGAACTCTTTCGGGGAAAACGCAAGCCGGGGGACCAGTTCCTTCGTTACAGGGACGTCCTGAAACGCCACCTAACAGCATGTGACATTCCGTGTGAGGACTGGCAAAAGCTGGCTCAGCGACGATCTGAGTGGCGAAGGACCGTCTATCAGGCTACTGAGCAATACGAGACAACCCGCCTTGAGAGCATGGCCTCTAAAACGGCAGATTACAAAAACCAGACCCAAGCCCCTCCGTAACTATACCTATAACTTAGCTGATAATTGATGACATTGTGTGTCATGTGACAGGACCTTTAAGACCAAATTCGGGTTCCTTAGTCATTTCCGCGCCCATATCAGAAATCTACAGTAGGGTTCTCCGCAGATGCGAACCCTAACGGATACGTCGCAGAGGACATCATCGTCATCATTATAGCTCTCTTACTTATTCGGGTTTTAAAGACAGTTAGTAGGAAACCGATACAAGTATTTCCTTTTTACTACAAGATTCAAGGACGAAAGACTATTGTTAACAACTTTGGTATAACGTAATAAAATTACAAATGCCTTATAAATTATTAACAGCAACCCGTTAGCAAACTTGTTACGCTAATATTAATAATGGCCACAGGCGTTCACTACGACCGTTTTCATTTTATTTAACAAAATTCTATTTGAATCACTCTGTCCACTAAAATCCATGATGGATTTTTGTGCACTTTTATGTCCACATTAATACACTCAACTGATTTTTACAAGAAATGGATCACTTAGGATTTACTAGTTTCGAAAAATCCATTTAGAAAACATAGTTTGAAAAATCAAGAACAATTATTACTTAATTTCTTTTGAACTGATGACCCAAGCTTTTTTATTCATTATCATTAATACAAGTATAATAATATAGTAATATTAGTAAAAGAATACCACAATGCGTATTATTTACTAGCTGAGACCCACGGTGTTACCCGCGTTTGTTGTTATAACCGCGGGCAACGCCGCAGGGCGAAGCTAGTCTAAAAAAAGCCTAGGTTAGCCTAAGTTACTCTTTATGTCATCAGTTATCTGCCAGTGAAAGTTCCGTCGAAATCGGTCCAGCCGTTCCAGAGATTACCCGGAACAAACAAACAGACAGACAGACAAAATTTGTAAAAAATGTTATTTTGGCATATGTACCGTGTAAACATACATATGCATTTAGTAAAAAGGGGTTATTTTAATATTACAAACAGACACTCCAATTTTTGACGTGACAACGTCTTATAATTTGATGGAGCCGGCTGCACGCACGAAAAAACATGACTCATGCGGCGTTACCTCGCTCTGAGGCGTTCCATTTAAGGCGTGAAGTGCAAGCGAGAGCGCGGAACGAGTGACAAAGAGGCACAATCGGCCTCCGCGTTCGGCAGCGTTCGACATCTGTCTCTCTCCTACTTGAGTGAGCGATGCGTCCGCGTGGACAGCTGCTACTCGTATACAATAATACATTTTTGAAAATTGCAACCATTCCATCAGTATTTTCTTATGACGTTGTCACGTTCAACTATCGTCAGTAAACCGACTTTACAGACAAACGTTTTTTTTTATTATTTGTATAGATGTATAGATTATATTATGACTGGTCTGGTGGTCCAGTAATTGATTATCATGACTGCCAAGTTCTGGTTTCTGGGCCTCTGGGTCGTGTGTTTATTGCCCACCCAGGACAAACAATGAGTGAGTATAGTGGTTCAGGCGTGAAAGCGTAACAAACAAACTTACTTTTACATTTATAATATCCTAGCGACCCGCCCCGGCTTCGCACGGGTGCAATGTAAATACTAATGTGGTGTCAGTGTGTAGTAATTAATTATATAATTATTATGATCAGACTATACTACAGGATATCTTTAAATGCAATATTTATAAACAGGCTCCGTGCCTCCCGGCCGCAGTGACTAGGGACATCGTACGGCCCGACACCCGCTCTGCCACCGCATTTTAAATCTCTGATATCTACTAAGATATTCACTTTAATGTAATGCTTAAAAAGGCAATTTTAAAGTAACGTAAAAAGGTATCTAACGTATTTAATTTAATAAGGAATAATACTGTATTATTTCAAATTGCTTCGTAAAAAACCCATCTTTTTTTATATGTAAAGGATAGAAGTGGTTAATGTGATTTATCCTTAGGAGATAGACATATACTATCACGGACCTTTTCGTCGATCTTTTTAAGATATACAATCCGTAGGTACGTTCTTTTGATATATCTTATAAGGCCATCATTCATATCGTTTAGCCAGCGTTTGCAATGTAAGCGTACAAAACATATTTTTTACGACAATCTTTGAAATTCTCAGATTTCCTCTACTATAATATATGCATGTATTATAGATATTAAACGGTTTTAAGAATATGCAGTGACTAAAAATAGAAGATTGCCGTGTGTCGCTACATGGCAATCTTTTTTTAACTACACGGATTAACTACATGGAGTGTCACCATCCCTATTTATCCCGTAAGTGTCGTAAGCCTACATGAAGCAGTTCAAGGACATGGCAGGAGTAGCAACGGCCAAAAAGTGTGGAAGTTGGTTCTAAGCTCTAGGATAATTGCATATCTAGTGAAAGATGAATTAACACAAAAAATCTGATTACCTTGGAGATATAGTTTGCCATTTGCAGAAATTTAGGATCTGTTCATAATATGTACTAATCCATATTTGTTTATATTCAATCAATGCTATTTTTATATGTACATATAAGATTTTTCCAACAAAAACGGGTTGTTCGAGCGAACTTATTTAATTTAACGGTTATTTTGTGTAGGAAAATTGTGAATGATGCGTGAATAACTTCATATCCAGTACTAACAGAGTATTATACGAGTATATTTCAAGGTTTATGCTTCCTACGCCAGGCTCAATTTACTTTTCTCCTTTTGTCCTATAAATCTTTTTGAATTGTGACTAACCATATTATTTTGTAGTAGAACGACACTGATATGAATAAATTTAAATTCTAAATTATTTCTATCATCTTCTTACCTGTTTTTCAATTTTATTTTGGGGTCTAAGTCACGGATGTTACTAAAATCTTCAATTACTCTCTCTATAGATGAAAGCTGCATTGAAATCCGTTGTGTAGTTTGAAAGATCTAAGCGTACAAGAACGAGGAGCGACTTCATTTTATACTATGAAGACATTATATATTTATATATTTCATACCATTTAGATTCTTCTAAATGGTTACATATCTTCTTTTCTTCTTTTTAAATTATGTATATTTATCAACAGCCTGGGTACGAGCTCTGCATAATTTGCCTTGTGTGAGGTGTGTCAAGATAGGTACTTAAAGGATATAGTATAGTTTACTTAGGTTGAAGTGGAACACCGAGTTGTCAAGACATGAATTGGTCCGTACACATCTCAGTGTTTCCACATCGGTAAACGAATTATCTGAAATCAAATATTAAATGTAGGCGGTTTGACATTTTTGTTGGAGGCGGAGGCTAAGGACAAGACTCCACAAACTTGCTACATAAATGACACGTGTCATTCAAGTTACACAAATACGTTTTATGAATGGCGGCAAAATGAATTTTAGTCAATTTCGTACATATACGAGTAGCAACACATGACAACGGCGGACCGGAGATTGTGTTACTCTATGAGTTCATACTTAGGGAAAAATCGTTTGAATACGTTTCTGAATTGCTATCGCTATCATCTTAGCAGTAAACTATATGTAACTGAACAGCTTAATTAAAAAAAAAATTAAACAACATAATTGTATTTAGTTTATAAATCTAGTTTTCAACTTACATACGATTTTTAATGAAATACTAAAACGCAAAAATACATTAAAACAGACTTTAACTTTCCATCTAAGTCCTAATATAGGTACTTACTCGTATATATAAGATCGATTTTAAATTACATGTAAATAAATTTGGTCCTCGAAGAGCAAAGGTAATTATGATTAGACAAAAAAGATTTTAGAAAGAAATTACATACACTCTGGCATGTATCCTCAAAGGATTATTCAGAAGCGTATTAAACGCACATATTTTGAGGAATATATTTTCGTCTTACCTACGTAAAAAGACATGGGGAAATAGGACGGCCAATAAGCGAGCGATTGTAATCATCAATATTACCAGGTTAATGAACAAAGATCAGTCTCTAATTCATATCAGAATACTTGGTAATAGCGATTAACCGGTGCTTCGTACGCTATTATTAATGGTTTTTATTTGAGAATAAAGTGAATTATTCTAAAACTAACTTACCAGCATTAAGCAAATTATAGAATAGGTACCTAATCATTTTTTTCTTATAACAAAAAAAAAGGACTAATAAATATTTTGGATAGGAATTATCTTATAAAAACTATCCTCATTAGTTTTACTTTAGTCTGTTAACAAAATAAGGCTAATGTTATAAATTAATCTCTTGAGATTTCGTGGTTTAGTTACAAGTTGAATAAGGTTTATCAAAACACAAAGGCTATAAGCCCCACCCGAGGGGCGACCCTAATTATAACTTAACCAAACAATATTTTACGAACGTCGTAGTACGTGCAACTTGTACGAGTACGAGTCCTTTAGCAATTACAGCTGATGCATAAATATAAAACTTTGTGTACGACCACTGAGTTTTTCTGTAGGTAATCAAGTACCAATCTAAACTCCGTAATAATGAAAGGACCTCTTTACTACGGTATTTGATTTGAAATGTCCGGTTGTTTGTACTTTCCCTAATTCTTCAAACTTAGATACATACACAAATACATAAATATACTCACGTTTTTTATCCTCGAAGTGTTAGACAGAGGCCTATTTTAAAACTCACATTTTGAACGTAATTCCAGTTCTTTCACGTAAGAGGGGCAAGCCTATTGCCCCCATTATACCTTTAAATAACCATAGTTGTACATTATTAAATA